TTCTTCTTCTTCTTCTTCTTCTTCTTCTTCTTCTTCTTCTTCTTCTTCTTCTTCTTCTTCTTCTTCTTCTTCTTCTTCTTCTTCTTCTTCTTCTTCTTCTTCTTCTTCTTCTTCTTTCTTCCTTCTTCCTTCTGCTCCCTTCTAGCACTAGTCAGATAGTGAAACATCTGCAAGAAAGCAAAAACCCAGCAGACTCCCAATGGTTGAATTCACCCTAATTTAAAAAAAATATCCCTAAATGAAAACTAAGGTTAGCAATCGGGTAAAGATGGCAGCAGCTAAACTTGGTTTGTTTTAATTAGGGACAGGGTTTGTTTGTTTTTTTAAATGTCTTAGCTGGCTGTGTGAATCCAGCCCCTTCCTTTAGTTTTAGATCGGATCATTTGCACCAGAGTAGCTAAATTTAAGCAACGGGTTAAATATGTACAAGTAGATAGCTAGATATAATAGAATAGAGCTGGAAGGGACCTTGGAGGTCTTCTAGTCCAGCCCCCCCCCCCCTTAAGCAGGATACCCTATACCATTTCAGACAAGTGACTGTCCAGCCTCTTCTTAAAAACCTTCAGTGATAAGAACACCCACAATTTCTGGTGTCCAGCTGTTCCACTGGTCAATTGTCCTCGCTGTCAGGAAGTTTCTCCTTAATTCCAGGTTGCTTCTCTCTTTGTTCAGTTTCCACCCATTGTTGGAAAAACAATGATAAAAGATAAGTTAAGGCAGCTACTTATCTCATCTCCTGCTAACTAAAAACACATTTAAAAGACTTTGAGGTTTGGAGATCAGCCAATTAAGAGGGTCACCCAAAGGTTTTGCTACTTGCATGAAAACCGGAATCAAAGTGCTTGACGTGAAGTGCAGAAAAGAACAATCATTATTTGGATTTTCCTCCCCAGTTTTTCTCACTCTCTCTCACTCTCTCTCTCTTTCTGCAGCCTCGGCTACTTTTGAGGACTTCCAGATCCGTCCGCACGCTCTCAATGTCCACTCGTACCGGGCCCCGGCCTTCTGCGACCACTGTGGAGAGATGCTTTTCGGTTTGGTCCGCCAAGGCCTCAAATGTGACGGTAAGAAAAGAAAAAAAACACCTGCAGAAAACTAAAGGCAGTTTTCTACTTCTAAGAATGCTAGATTTGCACTCAGGACCGGCTTGAAGAACGGGGTTTATTTGGGGAAGGGGGGAATGGAAAGCCGCAGTAGAGAATTGGGGTTGCTAAAAGATGGATTTTTCTCCCCTTTTCATGATGGCCATCAGATAGCGGCCTATATCTCCTATTTTCCTTGGCGGAATAGAAATCTTTATTTTTATTTTCCTTGTGGGAAAAAGAAATGTCTTTTCATGATTTGAAACATCTGGACATGTCCAGAGTCTGCACATCAGAAAGGGAGACCTGAGAGATATGCATGGAATGGAGTAATGTTTGTCAACCTTAGCAACTTTAAGTTGTGTGGACTTCAACTCCCAGAATTCCCCAGCTGGCATGCTAATGAACTTTAAGAAGTGTGTGGACTTCAACTCCCGGCATTCTTTGCTGGCTGGGGAATTCTGGGAGTTGAAGTCCACACAACTTAAAGTTGCCAAGGTCAAGAAACCCTCAAACGGAGCATTGACCTACCCTGCAGAGCTGTTGTGAATTCCCTCTCAGCCTGCAAAGTGAACAGTATATAGTAATATAATTTCACTGGCAAAGGATTTAAAATGATTATTAAAGAAATACCTTATTTACCCTTGCCTTCTTCTAATCTCCCGGCCCCGTGGCCTCTTCTGCCCCACAGGTTGTGGCCTGAACTACCACAAACGCTGCGCCTTCAGCATCCCCAACAACTGCAGCAGCGCTAGGAAGCGTCGCCTCTCGTCCACCTCGCTGGCCAACTCACAATCCTTGCGGCTGTCAATCACCGAATCCTTGCCCTGCGCCCCGGACGATCTGGTGAGTCAGCCCGGCCTCCCCCCACCGGGCTTGAGGCAGCTCCGCTTGGCCTCTGCTTGGTTTCTTCTGAGCCTTGAGGACTAGAATTTTGATCACGTGACCGGGGGGGGGGGAATGCTGCAACCTTCGTAAGTGTGAAAAATAGTTGTAAGTCACTTTTTTCAGTGCGGTTGTAACTTTGAATGGCCACTAAGTGAACTGTTGTAAGTTGAAGACTACATGTACTTTCTTGGCCAGGGCTCAGTCCCCTCTTTTCCTTCCTTCCTTCCTTCCTTCCTTCCTCCCTCTGTCCCTTCCCTCCCTCCCACCCTCACTCCCTTCCTTCCTTCCCTCCTTCCTTTCTTCCTTNTCCTTGCCCTGATCCTGTCCTCTTCTCCGCCCCGTTCCTGGCCCAGAGTCGGTGTTCCACGGAGCTCTTTCCCCGCCGCCTGACCTCCTCCACCTACATCGGCCGCCCCATTGAGCTGGACAAGCTCTTCCTCTCCAAGGTGAAGGTGCCCCACACCTTCCTCATCCACTCCTACACCCGCCCCACCGTCTGCCAGTACTGCAAGAAACTCCTCAAAGGCCTCTTCCGCCAGGGCCTTCAGTGCAAAGGTGAGCGGGCTCATTTCCGTAACATGTATGGGAGGGGGAATGGGGAACTCCCCGCTACCAGATACTTGCAGCCTGACAGCTGCAGGTGCAATGCTGGCCTTGCCAGGCTAGAACCCGTTTTGTTTCTGGTCTCCCTCTGCTGGCGGCTGATGGCATTACATCCCCCAAAGGCCAGCCCTTTTCCTGGACGGAAGGTGAGCGAGGGACTTTTTGGAGTCACTGAAAAGTGCCCCCCCTTTCTTTCTCTCCTCCCCCCCAACTCCCTCCAGATTGCAAATTCAACTGCCACAAGCGTTGCGCGACCCGAGTGCCCAATGACTGTCTGGGAGAGGCCTCCTTTAATGGTGGTGGTGAGTTCCAAAGACGTTTCATGTTGCAGGCGGGACAAGACGGAAGAGACTCTGGCCAGGGTGTGTGTGTGTGTGTGTGTGTGTGTGATTTTACGCTGGCTGGGGAAGGAGCGACACCGGATGCCGGACTGGCGTGAAAGAATGCAGAGCTGACCTTCCAGCAGTTTCTGACCACGTGATTCGCTTAACAACGGCAGTGATTCGCTTAACGACCGTGGCGGAAAGGTCATAAAGTTGAGCGCGATGTATTTAACTGCCTCGCTTAGCCCAGGAAATTCTGGCCCCCTTGTGGTCGTCAGGCGAGGACTACCGGTAGGGCTGTGGCCCCTCCTTTAACTGTTTTGATCCCACCCAGCGGGAAATCCCCACGGTTGCAATCAGGGTGACCAGATCTCCCGTGCTGGATTTGGATCCCTGGATTCCTCCCCTCTTCCTCCCCCAGATGTTTCCGTGGAAGAATCAAGTGATCTCAGCGAGGCGGATAAGAACTCGCTCATGGACGAGTCCGACGATTCGGGGATCATCCCGGGATCCCACTCAGAGAGCGAGCTGCGCATGGACGAGGACGCGGACAGCCTCCAGAAGTCCCAGAGGTGAGGGGGCCAGGTGGGAGGTCCGGCTTTTGCAACACACTCAGTCTTCGTTTAGTGACCATTTCAAGTTACAACGGCACTGAAAAAAGGACCGTTTTTCACACTTAGGAACGTTGCAGTGTCCCCGCGGTCACGGGATCGGAATTCAGGCGCTTAGCAACCGACTCACATTTACGACGGTTGCAGCGTACCCAGGGTCACGTGATCCCGTGTCATTTTTTTCAGTACCATTGTAACTTTCAACAGTCACTAAACAAACCGTTATAAGTTGAGGATTGCCTGTAACTAACTTAACCACTGCCGTGCTTCACTGAACAACTGTGGCGAGAAAGGTCATAAAACGGGGTGAAACTCACTTAGCGAATGCCTCACTTCGCCGCATAAGTGTTAAGTCCAGGACTGCCTGTATTACGACTCCTCCTCTCCCCCCAGGCCGTTGATAATTTTGATTTTTCAGCACTTCCGGTGAAGCCCTCCCCATCTTTGGGGTCTCCTTTTCCCATGGGGGGGCTTTTCCGTCGCCCCTCTGACCTGTGCCCCTGCCCCTCTGTCCACCCAGCTCCGTGGGGTACATCCCCCTGATGCGAGTCGTGCAGTCCGTCCGCCAGACCACCCGCAAGTCCAGCACGGCCCTGAAGGAAGGCTGGATGGTGCATTTCAGCAACAAGGACACCCTGGTGAGCCGAGGGGAAGGGGCTGCGGGGCTCAAAATGGATCAGAAGAGGCGCTGCAGAGGGATCTCCTGGAGGCTTCGTAGCGCTGCGTTCAGGATTCCTTGCAAGAGGGTGTCCCACAAGGGCTTCACCATGGCTGGTCTCTTTGCTGGACCAAATGCCCCGATGCCTGGAGCAGGGGTCTCCAGGCTTGGCCGCTTTAAGACTTGTGGACTTCAACTCCCAGAATTCCCCAGCCAGCTCATGTGATCGGCAACTCTGTTGCACGTGCTGGCTGGGGAATTCTGGGAGTTGAAGTCCACCCATTTTCTATGTCAATAGCAGGCTGTGCCAAGAGGGGGCCTTTCATCGCCAGAGAAGCCCCTTCCTCCCCTTGATCCCCCAACCCATTTTTGCTTTTCCCTCCTTCTGCAGCGGAAACGCCACTACTGGCGGCTGGACAGCAAGTGCCTCACCCTCTTCCAGAACAACAGTAGCAACCGCTACTACAAGGTGAGTCTCGTCTCCTCGGGGTCTCCAGGACAGGGACCCCCTTGGCCTAGCAAGCTTCTGCCCTTTGCTGGGGGTGGGCGGGGGTGTCTTCTCTCAGCTGAAACTTTTTGGTGGAAAAAGAGAGCAGAAGGCTACGGCAGGGGTAGGCAACCTCGGCTGTTTTATGACTCATGGACTCCAACTCCCAGAATTCCTGAGTCAGCTATGCTGACTCAGGAATTCTGGGAGTTGAAGTCCATGAGTCATAAAACAGCCGAGGTTGCCTACCCCTGGACTAGGGGAAGGGGCTGGCCTTTCACAGCCCAGGAAGCAAACCAGCAGAGGATTCCAGAGTGGGGAGGGGCAGGCTTGAGGTCATCTACTCCATCCCCAGCTCCATCCCCAGCCTTACTCAACCCCCCCCTCCAGTTCGCTATGGGTGTTTTTGCCCCGAATTTGGAAAGAAACGGCAGTTTTTGCAAAAAAAAATATGTTGTAAATCTCACTGGATACCCCAAACAGCCATAAATGAGGTCCGGTTGCTGAGTGCCCCCAAATATGGTCACATGACCACGGGGAGGGTCGGACAGACGTCAGAATTTCAGAACCAGGCCAGAAGCAGCTTTTTTGGGGGGGGGCTCTGTCGTAACTTTGAACGGTTGCTAAGCCAGCCGTCGTAAAACGAGGACTACCTTTCTCTGGAAAAGAACTGATTTATTTCCCTTTTTCCTTTCTTTCCGCTTTTCCACCTCCGCCAGGAGATCCCGTTGTCGGAGATTTTGGCCGTGGAGCCGGCTCAGGACTTTTCCCTCATGCCGTCCGGCGCCAATCCTCACTGCTTCGAAATCATCACCGCCAACGCCACCTACTACGTGGGCGAGAACGGCGCCCCCAGCAACCCGCAGCACGGCGGAGACAGCCTGGAACACGCCAAGGCCTGGGAGACGGCCCTCCGCCAAGCCTTCATGCCGGTCGTCCTGCAGGGGGCGCCGACTGCCCAGGGACAGCCCCCCCACAGTAAGTGCGGCACGCACAGACCTGCGCCCGGGTGACGCTTGCGGAGGTAATCCTCACTTACTGACTGCCGCGGGGGGCGGCAACTCTATTGCAAGGGAGGCCGTTGTGAAGTGGAACGTCTCACGACGGCCCTGACTTATGACGTCAGTTCCAGGCGTGGTCGTTAAGCAGATCCCTTGAGGTCATGAAGCACAAAGTCACAGGACTGTGACTTGCAAACTTCCCTGCCGGCTTCCCCATTGAGTTTGCTTGTAGGAAGCCAGGGGTGTGAAGTTGTGAAGGTGTGAGGTTCTGCCAGGGAAACTCGCATATGGGGATCATGGGACTTTGTGATGCTGCAATCCTCATAAAGGTGCATTGGTTTCCAAGTGCCCAGATCATGATCACGTGACCGTGGGCACGCTGCAACGGCCATAACTTTGAGGACCAGTCATGAGTCTCCTTCTTCAGCATCATTTCAAACAGTTGCTGAAGGAATGGTCAGTAAGCGAGGACTACTCGTAGTTTCCTTGCCAAGAAATCAATCCTGGGTGAATCAAAGTTTCCCTTCTGAGCGTGCTCCTTGTGCAACACTGCCCTCTAATGACGGGAAAGGGTATTACCTTGCCTCCTCTTGTTGGTTTGGGGTCCCACGGCGATAGATCGTGGCCTACAAAGTGGCTTCCGGGGGCCCAGTTCCGGGTGAGCCAGAGAGAAGAGGGAGTCAAGACATGGAGGAGGTTAAATCTTTTCTTCTTGTCTCATCTAGGACAAGCGTCTTTGCGGATCTCTGTGTCCAACAGCCAAATCCAGGAGAACGTGGTGAGTGTCCTACCGGCCGCCATTCTTCTTCCTCCGAGTCTCGTTCTTCGATCTCGTCATCCGCTGAAGGTGACCTCAATAGGTGACTTCTTTGTCCCACTGCAGGATATCGCCACCGTCTACCAGATATTCCCCGATGAGGTCCTGGGCTCCGGGCAGTTTGGCGTGGTCTACGGAGGTAACCCTCATTCCTTTTCCCAGGTTTTGTCACAGAACAATGGGTGTCCAAAAGTCGAGATGGCAGCTGCCACAGAGGTCAAAAAGAGGATGGAGGGTGGATTTGTTCCCATTTCATAATCCTACACCGTGCCGTTCTTGAAATGTTGTGATGCACACCCCAAAGCTTGTGGGAATGTCTCTGGAAGCGGATCTCCGAAAGGGCCAAATGTGGTCCTCAAATCTTGCAACGTTCCATGTTTCGTTGTCTCTGTCACTGCTGTGCTGAGAACTTAAGTTCAACAACTGAAGGAGAGCCACAAACAGCTGAAGGAGAGCCCTCTCCCCCTCTCCCTCTCCTCTCCCTTCCTTCTCCCGCCTCCCTCTCCCTTTCCGGACTATTAACCCTTAACCTCAATCAAAAGTTTGGCAATTCTTAAGGGATGAGCCCAATCAGGGCAACCGTAGGGAAGATAACGTCTTGAAGGCATCTCCCAACCCTTTTGTCCAAGGATTCACGCCCTGCAAGAGGAAGCGTCATCTCTGGGGAGACTCGGGGCTGGTCTGGAGGGGGGTGGGTGGGAACCGGCTGACTCCGCAACGTCTCTCTTGCCCTGCCAGGGAAGCACCGCAAGACAGGTCGGGATGTGGCGGTGAAGGTCATCGACAAGCTTCGTTTCCCCACAAAGCAGGAGAGTCAACTGCGCAACGAGGTCGCCATCCTGCAGGTGAGCGGTCCCACCCAGTCTGGTGCCCCCCCCCATCGGGGGATTCTCACTTTTCCTTTCTATTTCATTTCGTTTTTGATCATTAAGCGGCCAGAGTCGGTGGGCAAGATTGATAAATACATTGTGATCGAACTCTCACCTTTCGGTTTTCAACCAGAGGTCTCCAAACCTGACCTCTTTAAGACTGGTGGACTTCAACTCCCAGAATGCCTCAGCCGGGAAGGAATTCTGGGAGTTGAAGTCCACATATCGTGACGTGACCAAGATTGAGAAGCACTGCACCAAAGCAGGGCATTTTCTCTAGACGTAATATTTTTTATTAATTACACCTTTCCTCCCCCCCCCATGGATTTTAGTATTATAATAGTACTATACTTCAGGTTGGTAATTTTACTGTTCTTCTAAATGACGTGATTGCCTTACTCAGATTGCCTGGATGCCTTAACTATATTAATGTTTCTTAACTGTATAAGATCTTAAACTTGCAATTTCAGGCGTATCGCTATATAGGAGGTTTTAGCTGGTTTTTCTTCTAGTCAAGTTCTCTCCTGATTCAGGCTGCACAGATATTGGCTCTGCTGGTCAACACCAAAATAAAACGACCGGTTGACTCCCTTGTGGCACCCAGCCTGCCATCATTCTCTCCGCTGGGTGGGCTGGGGAGCCCCTTTGCTGCCTTAAGGTTAAGCCTCCTGTTTTTCATTCTGACCCCGTCCCAGAGTCTGAGGCACCCTGGGATTGTAAACCTGGAATGCATGTTTGAGACCCCGGAGAAAGTCTTTGTCGTGATGGAGAAGCTCCACGGGGATATGTTGGAGATGATCCTGTCTTCGGAGAAGGGCCGGCTCCCAGAGAGACTGACCAAGTTCCTGATCACCCAGGTAGAAAGGCTTCTCCAGATCTTTCTTTCTTTCTTTCTTTCTTTCTTTCTTTCTTTCTTTCTTTCTTTCTTTCTTTCTTTCTTTCTTTCTTTCTTTCTTTCGTTCTTTCTTCCTTTCTTCTTTCCTTCCTCTTTCTTTCTCTTTCTTCCTTCCTTCCTTCCTTCCTTTTTCTTCCCTTTCTTTCTTTCTTTCTTTCTTTCTTCCTTCCTTTCCTTCCTTTTCTTTTTTCTTTCTTTCTTTCTTCCTTCCTTCCTTCCTTCCTTCCTTCCTTCCTTCCTTTCTTTCTTTCTTTCTTTCTTTCTTTCTTTCTTTCTTTCTTTTTTCTTCCTTCCTTCTTTCTTTCTTTCCTTTTCTTTCTTCCTTCCTTTCTTTTTCTTCTCTTTCTTTCTTTCTTTCTTTCTTCCTTCCTTCTCTTTCTTTCTTTCTTTTTCTTTCTTCCTTTCTTTCTTTCTTCCTTCCTTTCTTTCTTTCTTTCTTTCTTTCTAAACTTCCTGCCGCCCAAATCTTGAAGGATGTAAAGCACGGATCTGTCACTAGGGGGCTCCAGAGTCCTAACTAAAAATATTGCTTCTGCCTTGATCTCAAAACAATGACTTGATTACAGATTGTTCCCAGGGGGATGCTATAGGTTCCTTAAAACAAAGAGCAAAAATCCTCTTTGGGGCTCTCTGGAAGGAAAATGGGATCAACCTGGAACCTGTCAAGTGTCTTCTAGAGTCAGAACGACTCCAGCAATCTCAAAAGAAAGACAGCACTTTCTCGGTCCCTTTTCTAAGTTACCAACCTGTCAAATGTAATTTCTGTACTTTGCTTCTGATCATTTTATCCCATTCCATAAGTAACATCATCAGTGCTAGAAGGGAGTGGAGTTTGCAGAGTGGAGGAGGAGGAGAAGGAGAAGGACTATGGAGTCCTGGGCACTAGGTAATTCAACATTCATTACCCAACACTGAAGATGTAATCAAGTTGGGTCATGAAACGTCTGCAAGGAAACCCCCAAGCTCAGAGAGCACCAAGAAGCCCCTCAGTTCAGCCCTAAGCTACAAAATATTTTCTTCTATTAGTTAAGTTGTTCCTTCTGGATGTTTCCTCTCCCTTCAGGTCCTGGTTGCCCTCCGACATCTGCATTTCAAGAACATCGTTCACTGCGACCTGAAGCCTGAAAACGTCCTCCTGGCATCAGCTGAGCCCTTCCCCCAGGTATTATTATTATTATTATTATTATTATTATTATTATTATTATTATTATTACTATCTTTGTATACCAAAATCTCAGGGTCATACCTTCTTTTCAGTGCCAGGCGTGAAAAATGAGCTTTATGTGTGAAAATTCAACTTGATTGATTTACAGGCAGTCCTTGACTTATGACAGGCATGTCAAACTGCTGGTCCATGGGCCGGATGCGTCACGCTGAAACCGCGCCCACCCCATTGCCAGAAATGGGGAAAAAGTCGCGATACGTCGCGAATTTGACATGCCTGACTTAACAGCAACAATGGAGCCCAAAACTTATGGCGTCAAGTGAGACGTTTGGCCCCATTTTACGACCTTTCTGGCCACCGTTGTTAAGCGAATCACTGCAGTTGATAAGTTAGTCACCTGGTTGTTAAGTGAATCCAGCTTCCCCCATTGACGTGGCTTGTCAGAAGGTCGCAAAAAGGGGATCACGTGACCCCGGGAGGCTGCGACCGTCGTTAAATGTGAACCAGTTGCCAAGCCGTCTGGATTTGGATCACGTGACCATGGTCAAAACTGTGAGAACCGGTCCTGCGTCCCTTTTTTTCAGCACCTTTGTAACTCGGAAGGGTCACTAAACAGGCTGTCGTAAGTTGAGGACCACCTGTACAGCCACGCCCATCAGCTAAACCTCCCTCCCTCCCTCCGGTCTCTGCTCCGCAGGTGAAGCTGTGCGACTTTGGCTTCGCCCGCATCATTGGGGAGAAATCCTTCCGCCGCTCAGTGGTGGGCACCCCGGCCTACCTGGCCCCCGAGGTCCTGCTCAACCAGGGCTACAACCGCTCTCTGGACATGTGGTCGGTGGGCGTCATCATGTACGTCAGCCTGAGCGGCACCTTCCCGTTCAACGAGGACGAGGACATCAACGACCAGATCCAGAACGCCGACTTCATGTACCCGCACAACCCCTGGCGGAAGATTTCGGTCGGAGGTGACTCTCCTGGGAAAGAGGACGAAAGGCGGGCGGAAGGGTGGGTGGAAGCAGAGCTGGCTGGGGAATTCTGGGCGTTGAAGTCCACCCGTCTTAAAGCGGCCAAGGTTGAAAAATATTGGCTCAGAGAGTAGAACTACGCCCTCCACAATGTTTGGGTTTCTAGTTTGGGGTGTGTGTGTTAGATTCTGACTCACAAATAGAACGTCTCGCGTGAATGGGGCCCTGTGTGGCTGTGTCTTATTTATGTCTGATGTCTTTCTTCATCCTGGTTATTTGGATTATTGGAGGATGCATTGATTGAAAGCCAATTGGGGATCCTTCCTTCCTTCCTCCCTCCTTCCTTCCTTCCTTCCTTCCTCCCTCCCTATTTCTTCCTTTTCTATCTCTCTATTACTTCCTTCCTACTTTCTCTATTCCTTCCTTTTCTCTTCCTTCCTTCCTCCTCACTATTCCTTACATCCTTCTTTCTCTATTCCTTTTTTCACTGTTCCTTCTCTATGTTCCTTCATTTTCTCTCTCCTCTCCATTCCTTCCTTCCTTCCTTCTTTTTCTTTTTTCCTTCCTTCCTTCCTCTCTCCGTTCCTTCCATCCATCCATCCCATCCCCACCTAGCCTCACCTGGGTTGAGTTGGGCGGCAACAGAAATGTAATGGCTGAGTACATTAATAAACAAGCCCAGTTTTAAGGCTCACCTCTCCTTTCGCCCCCTCTCAGCCATCGATCTGATCAACAACCTGCTCCAGGTGAAGATGAGGAAACGTTACAGTGTGGATAAATCACTCAGCCACAGTTGGCTACAGGTAGGTTGAAGAGGTGGGGGCTGTGCTGCGCTGAATCGCTCCTGACCCAAATGGGTCACTCCAGGTCAGGTTTTCCCCACCACGACCTCCGCTGTACATTTGGACTGTAAAGGTCCTGAATCGAAGGCTCTTCGGTGCTCTCTGAGCTTGGTGGGCTTCTTTCAGACGTTTCATTACCAGAGTAGGCAATATCATCAGTGCTAGAAGGGAGGTGGAGGAGGAGGAGGGGGAGGAGGAGGAGGAGGAGAAGAAGAAGAAGAAGAAGAAGAAGAAGAAGAAGAAGAAGAAGAAGAAGAAGAAGAAGAAGAAGAAGAAGAAGAAGAAGAAGAAGAAGAAGAAGAAGAAGAGGAGGAGGAGGAGGAGGAGGAGGAGGAGGAGGAGGAGAACTGTGGGGCCCTGGGTGCTCTCTGAACTTGATGGTTTTCTTGCAGACATTTCATCACCCAACTGGGTAACATCATCAGTGCTAGAAGGGAGGAAGGTTTTCAAAATAGAGGAGGAGAAGGGCAGGAGGAGGGGTCCGAGAACTATGGGGTCCTGGGTGCTCTCTGAGCTGGGTGGTTTTCTTGCTGACGTTTCATTACCAGAGTAGGTAATATCATCAGTGCTAGAAGGGAGGAGGAGGAGCAAGAGAAGATCTGTGGGGTGGGTCCTGGGTGCTCTCTGAGCTGGGTGGTTTTCTTGCAGACATTTCATTACCCAACTGGGCACTATCATCAGTGCTAGAAATGAGTGGGATTTTGCTCTCCTATTCTGCCCTCTCCGTGTGGCTGGGAGTGTCAATGTAGCCACCCGTGTGTCGTTCTTGGTTGTCTGGGCCTGACACCAGCTGGTCCCTAAGAAAGACCACCACAAACCTGCTGCCTGCTTTCCATCTGCCCCTCCCCCCCCATCCCTCTCCTGTTCAGGATTACCAGACCTGGCTGGACCTCCGGGAGCTGGAGAGCCGGATGTTCGTGCGCTACATAACCCACGAGAGCGACGACACCCGTTGGGAGCAGTTTGCCGCGGAGCACAGCCTGCAGTACCCGGCGCATCTGCGCGTTCGCCGGCTGCAGGAGGAGGAAGAGGTGGAAGAGGCCGGAGAGCAAGAAGAGGAGGAGATGGAGGTGCAGGGCTTAGCCGAGCGGGTCAGCGTCCTCTGAAGGCCTGCGGCGGGGCGGGCAGGCAGGACGAAGGGCAACGCAACTGGACGAGGACCTTGACCGGAGCGACCCTGGCCTCTCACTGAATTCGCACTCGCCACCTCCCCCATCGTCTCTTTTCCGGGAGGTTGGAAAAACAAGAAACGGAACCTGTCAGATCTTTCCAAGGAGACCTTTGGCTGCTCGGAGGTCGGCATTGCTAAGAGCCACGTTGAAGGAGACCCACAAGGGGGGCAAGGTAATCATGCACAATGGGTAGAGTCAACCTGGCCCTTGGACAGAGCCCTGCTTCCGTTGTCTCCTCCCCTTTTTCAGGGCTGGGATGGGGGACTTTCTTTGCATGTTGCATTAGCCCAAGGGTAGGCAACCTCGACTCTTTTATGACTCATGGACTCCAACTCCCAGAATTCCTGAGTCAGCATAGCTGACTCAGGAATTCTGGGAGTTGAAGTCCATGAGTCATAAAAGAGCCGAGGTTGCTTATTAGCCCATTTTGAGTGTTTGGCTAAAAAGGTTCATGCAAAAATAGCCAGTTTTCTTGAGCTAGGACCGATGGGGGCTACAGGTTGTGTGTCCCCCCCCACACCCAGGGACGCAGAGGAAGCTTTGGGGAGGTGTGGAGGTTGAGGAAGAGGAATCGGGGCTGTTTCACAGTGGAAACAGCCTCAAAACCGATGGCGGTGCTCTCTTTGATGAAGATTCCTGGTTAAATGAAGGTTTCTTTGGGGGAGAGGGGGGGTCTAATCCAGGGCTCTCCAAACGTGGCCACTTTAAGACTCGTGGACTTCAACTCCCAGCGTTCCTCAGCCAGAAACCTGCAGCAGGCAGAAACACACCGGCTGAGGAATTCTGGGAGTTGAAGTCCACGAGTCTTAAAGTGGCCCCGTTTGGAGACCCCCGATTGAATCAATCTGAGTGGGAATTGCTCTCTTTGATCGCTGAATCAGTGTTTCCTCAAGCTTGGCCGCTTTAAGTGGGATGGACTTCAACCCCCAGAATTCCCCAGCCAGCTGAATTCTGGGAGTTGAAGTCCACCCCTCTTACAGTGGCCCAGCTTTAGAAACCTTGTTTTTAACGGACTGGCGGAGAGGGAATTGTCAAGCGGGCAAAAATTCATGCAGACAGTTTTCAAAGTAGGACTCAACTTTGGGGGAGGCAGAAACAGAATCGACCCCCCTCGTACAGCCCCCCCCTCTCCAAAATCCCTGCTCCTTCCTCTATGCCTCCCAAGGGCACGTCGGCTTTCCAAAGTGGACCGTTTGAAACAGGCCAGCGCCACCAAAGACTGGCTCCTTGTGCCCCAGACAAAGCCACCTTCTCTTCCAGCGTGGAGTGGGCCAACGTCTTTGCCTCCAAACCACGTGGGCTGGCCAAAATCCATGCGCCGGAAGGGAGAGGAAGAAAGCTCCGGGGAGGTGGGGGGAAGAGATGCTGTGTGGTTCTCCCCCACCCCCCCTTTTTTTTTTCTTTTTAAAAAGCATTTCTCTTTGAAAGATTCAGATCCCATTCTGCACATCCGGGGAAGGATTAACCCCATAACTTTTTTTTGGGACGGGACAGGAATTCTCCATCTAACGCTTTCCGTGATGGTCAGCTAGAAATAGTTTTGCCCCCAGCCAGGCGGATGGGAATGGTAGTCTCACCTCGCTGGAAGAACGGTAGCAGTTTGCAGGCCTCTGGATTTCTCTGGGAAGGAGAAATATGTGGGTCTGAGGTTGTTTGCATAACGCAAACCAAGATGGGATTCCCCCCCTTCCCACCATGATTTCAGCCCCTCCATATTGGCGTTTATTAGATTAAAGGTCCGTCTCTCCTCTCTGCTGTTAAATTTGGCCAACATCCTTCTGCTGAAGCTTACTGATTCCCCCACCCACCCACCCCCACCCCCCGGCACTTAACTGGATTCACAACCACCACCAAATTTCTGGTTTGCTCATTAGAGTTTGTGGAATAAACCACCATTGATCGGTCAATGGGAAAGAGTCGGTTTTGGTATGGGGCGGTCTCTGATGTGGCCACTTCATAGCAACTGGGCTTGTATTGAAGAGGCAGCTTCCCCCGGACAATTGTTTATACCCTGAAATGTCTATTTTTTTTTAAAATAGCCTGAACGTTGTGCTGTATATAAAAATACATTTAAATCCTAGATTTAAAAAGGCGTCTTTGAGTTGCATGTAGATTTGGCTGAAGAAGTCAGGAGAACTTCCGTTTCTTTTACTGTTGAGCGGGTCTCTGGGGAGAATGCCCACCCGGTTCTTTCTTTCTTTCTTTCTTTCTTTCTTTCTTTCTTTCTTTCTTTCTTTCTTTCTTTCTTTCTTTCTTTCTTTCCTTCCTTCCTTCCTTCCTTCCTTCCTTCCCTTCCTTCCTTCCTTTCCTTCCTTCCTTCCTTCCTTCCTTCTTTCTTTCTTTCTTTTTTCTTTTCTTTCTTTCTTTCTTTTTTCTTTTCTTTCCTTCCTTCCTTCCTTCCTTCTTTCTTTCTTTCTTTCTTTCTTTCTTTCTTTCTTTCTTTCTTTCTTTCTTTCCTTCCTTCCTTATTTATTTATTTGTTTATTTATCCTTCTATTTATTGATCTGTTTATCATATTTATACACCATCCATATCCTGTTGAGCGACTCTGGGCTTCTTGCTTGTTCTCATTCTACTTTCCAGTCTCTGGAAAGATTCTTCTCTTAAAGTTTGCACCTTGCATGGTGTTGCTGTCCGGGGCACTTGCTGGTCAGACACCCCCCCCCTTCCATCATTTTTCCAGGGGTGCTCAGCTGCCTTGGCCCAGGCCTGGCCTGGTCATTTGCCCCCGCTTGGAAAGCTGGTTTGTGTGGCCTTTGTGCAAGGTGGGCGTTTGGAAACCGTGCCGCGTGGGGGGAAGACCATGCAAAAAAATAATAATAATAAGCTGGAGGTTTTGGGATGAGTTGAGGGTGGTCAACTTTGAAAGGGAAGCTCAACTCTGAGGTGGGTTTGCGGAGATCATAAGGAAGCGGTGGAGGGACAATGACAGAGGCTAACGGATGCTATGGGCCAAAGGAAACAGTGGGGGGGGGGTAGCAAAAGCTTTTAACTTAACTGGACTTTAAAGCAATGTTTCTCAACCTTGGCAATCTTAAGACACAGCTGGCTGGGGAATTCTGGGAGTTGAAGTCCACACGTCTTAAAATTGACCCAGCTGAGAAACAATGCCTTGAAGGATCTGATCCCTGGCGAGATTTCCTGCAGTCTGGAATCCGTCCATCCATGCCTGGCGAGGAAATTACTTTGAAGTAGAGGGAGGCAGAAGGATTTTCCACGCAGGCTGTGGCTATAGCAACAATGGAATACAGACAATAAGTTTTTTTTCCTCCTTCCAATCGCTTTTTCCAGAACACGACTCTGCCGCACATGCCTTGGCACGCGGCCCCTCTCGCTCTGCATATGCTTAGAAAATCTGGAACGCCTGCAACAGATTCGGCGGGGGCCTGGCTTTAGCAAGGCGGAGCCCGTTCCTTCTCGGAGAGGGGCGCTCAGATCTGCTAAAAAGCCAACTGCTAACAGGCTCTAGGTTGGCCACACTCTCAGGTGTGGAATTGATGTGTTTTCCAGGTGGGGAATTGACAAGGGTTCTAGATGGGGAATGGATGTGTATTCCAGGTGTGGCGTTGATACGCCTGGCAGGTGTGGAATCTGCATGCATGGCCAGGTGAGGAGTTGACGTGGATTCCAGGTGTGGAGTTGACGTTCATTCCAGATGTGGAATTGACATGGATTCCCAATGGAGAGGAAGTAATGCACTTTGCACTGGCTCAGAGGCACTCCTGAGAGCTAGAGAGGTCACCGCAGCTGCTTAAAAGGGGCTGTTAGTCCTGCTGTGCTGGTGCCCCTTTTGGTCTCGGAGAAAGGTTTTATTTTGAGTTTCCAGCTGTGGAAGTCTGGGCCCCTGTCTTGGGTCTCCAAGCCTTTGGGGCTCAAACTGCCTCCCCGGTGCATCAACCCACCGTGCGAGGCTCCTTGGCACTTAAGCAGCCAGCATGACGGTGAGAAGGAAGCACAGATGCTCCTCACCACAAGTTGACAGCAGCCTCAAAGAGACTCGATCTTCCCATTTCCTTCCTTTCCCACCCCCCCAATATTGCTATTTCTCCCTGTCCTTAGCAAAAGCTGCCAGCATCCTCCCCCCCCCACTGCCATTGCCATGGCTACCCGCTTCTCCATCACCATGGCTACCTGCTCACACTATTATTATCACCACCATTTATAAACCACTGTTGCTACCCATCCTAGTCACTGTCACTGCTGCCAGCCCCTTCCTCCTGGCGGCCGAAGCATCGCGCATGGCTGTTCCCTGGAAGCTGAGCCAGCCTCTCCTCCTCCTCCTCCTCCTCCTCCTCCTCCTTTCTCATGTGTAAGAACCATCCCTGGGTCAGTCTGACGTTTCCCCTTTTGAATTGGGGATCGGTTGCCAGAAATTCTGCTGTCTCCTCTCATGGGTTCCTCTGTAGTGGATCTCTTAAAACAAAGCCCCTTCACCACCAGCTGGGGTTCCCAAGGTGTGGCAGACCTCCCCACCCAATACCCACGCTGTCCAGGGTGATGGGAGTTATAGTCCCACAGCCCTTCTGGGGTTTGGGAAAGGAGGAATCTAGTCAGTTTGAGGCTTTCTCGCCCCATCCCAAAAAAGGATGTGCAGAAGTCCTCAAAAGGCTCCTGACGAAGATGTTCCCCCACATGTTCCAGAAAGCACCCAGTTTCTGGTCTTCAGCCAGGGTGACTTATTCGCAACTCTCTCTCTCTCTCTCTCTCTCTCTCTCTCTCTCTCTCTCTCTCTCTCTCTCTCTCTCTCTCTCTCTCTCTCTCTCTCTCTGTGTGTGTGTGTGTGTGTGTAGGAGATTTCCTTCCTTCGCTCCTTCGTTCCCTCCCTCTCTGTCCTTCCTACCTACCTACCTCCCCTTCCTTCCTTCCTTCCTTCCTTCCTTCCTTCCTTCCTTCCTTCCTTCCTTCCCTCCCTCCCTTAAAAAAACATTTTTACACTGATGGGAAGATGCAGAATGGGGAGGGGGCATCCCCATGTCCAACGTTTTGACCTGGTCCCCTGCTTTTTTTTCAAGCGGGGGGGGGGGAAAGCTCCCTGTCCGAAGCCGCGTCTGAATCCCCAAGTCAGCCAACCTACCTTTCCCAACCTGGGGGCTCTCCGGTCGTCTCCCCATTCATAACTCCACGAATGACGGTTGTCTGAACTGCCCAGGGACATTTTCCAGGCTTGCTGACCGCCTAACAGAAGCCCCTCTTCGGCCTGGCCTGGAGATCGAGTCCGCCTTTCCAGCAAGGCAGCAGCTCAGCTGGCCTCTGGCAACCAGGAGGCGGGGGCACGGTCGGCGGGTGCGTCCCCCCAAACCTTTCGGGGACCCCAGGCCCCAAACCGCCCAGCCCCCCGGCATTTAGGGGAAAGTCGAGAGGATCCCCCCGAAGCTGCCTTTGGCCGGACGCCCCCTTGAGAAAAGTCACCCTCGCCACTCTTTGGGACGTAAGAAACTCGGGGGACATGCTGGGAGGGAAGGCGAGGCCCCTGAAGGGGCGGGGGAGGGATCCCCGAAGCTTCATTCATTCATTCATTCAGAAAACAAGACATTCAGATGGGCGGCCAGAAACTCTTTCACTTCGGTGGGCGGGGCCAGGTTTTTTTATGAATGAGACGATGGAGGGGTTGGGCCAGCAGAAGGGCGGAGACATGCAAACGAACTGGCAAATGACGCTCCTGGCGTCCAGGCCTGTCGGGGACATCAGGGAGCGGGGAATTTATGACTATTTGTTATGATTTAATAATTTGATTAACGGTTTAAAATGATTTAATGTCCAAGGCGTTCGGTGGCTCCCACCGCAGGGCGTGGCCAGCCAGGTAAATTGAGCTGAGCGGACCAATAGACGAATCGCAGGGCGTGGCTAAGAGGCAGGGAGGGGAATGAACCAATGGCTTGAATCAACGGCTCGATTATGCAAATTAAGGGCGCACTTTCGGAGAGGGGCGTTTTATGCAGATGAGGAAGGCGTGTCGGCAGCTCGGCTCGGCGGCGGGCGTATGCAGATATATCGGGCCACCGCCCAATAGCTCGCTGCGAGGGCGGGCCCCAACGGGTGAAGTTCCCGCGGAAGAGCCAATGGCTGGGCTCGAGGGCGACGCCATATGCAAATTGAGCCTCCCAGCTGAGCCAATGCCGGATCTCCACCGCGAAAGGGGCTTTGTAAATAAAGCGGAGCCGAGGGAGCCAATGGCGAGGCTCCATTGGGCCAAAGCGACGCGCGGCCGGGGCCCAATTGTTTGAATGGGAGGCGTGGCGCTGGGCCGGGCGGGCTAATCAGAGGCCGAGTCTCCCAATCCGTTTCGGACGGGCGAGCCAATCGGCGCCCACATGCAAATGAGGCGGTGACAGCGCCGGAGCTGCAGCCGCCGCCGCTGCGCTTTCCCGGCTCCGGAGCCGCTGCAGGAGCCGCCGCCCGCCCGTCCGTCCGTCCGCTGCCCGCCCGCCCGCCGAGGGCTGCAACCGGCTGGCGGCACCATGATCCGCGCCTTCTCCTTCCCGGCCAGCCCGGAGCGGAGCCGGCTGCGCGCCTGGCTGGAAGGCACCCTGGCCGGCTTGTGCGAGCTGCACTTGCTGCGGGAGCGCCAGGAGCGGCGCGTCCGGCAGGCGCTGCGCATCGCCGCCGAGCCCTCGGCCGCCAAGCCCGGGAGTTGCGAGGCCGGGGGAGGCGGGGAGCCTTCGCCGGAGGAGCAGCTGGTGAGCCCGGGGGGGGGGGCAAGAGGCAGAGGACCCAGGCGGGGAGGGGGCGCGCCGGATTGGGACCACCGGAGGGGGAGGGAGGTGGGGGCGGCAGGAGAGGCGAGGGGAGGGGTCGCCGCAGCCCGCCCTCCCCCCTTTTCTGCCTGGGGGAGGGGTCTTTGAGAAGCTCCGGTGGGGGAGAAGAGGGGGTCCTCGGGCTGTCCCGCGGGGAAGGGGCGTCGGAAGAGCCCGGGCTCCTGGTGGGGGGGTAGGCTGCTCCTTGCCCGACGTCCTGAACCGGCCGAGAGGGTGGAGGCGGACGATCCCGGGTCCCCTGCGCGGGCTCCTTTCTCCGCAGTCGGATTAATGGGTCTGGGGGCGGCAAGGATGGAGCAGGAGCATGCGCGCGCTGGCGGGATGGGGATGGAAGAGAGGCGCTCCCCCCCCCATTCCGCCCCCTTTCCTCCCCTCCGGCCCTGGGGAGGCTTGGGGGAAGCGGGCAGCTGCGCCCCGTCGCCTCCCTTCTGCGCTTGGTTGGGCTCCGTTGGAAGAAAGCAGCAGCGCCCCCTCCCCTCCTTCGCTCGCCCGACGCCAGGCTGGGTCTCCGGCTTGCGCCAGGACCGCGGCAGCCGGCTTCGCCGATCCATCCGCCGCTGCGGCCAAGTCCGGGAGCGCAACGCCGCTTTGCTCGGAGGGGTCTTTTCTGGGCAGGCGGGCCCCCCCTCCTCTCCCTAGGCAGGTTCCTCCCAGATCTCCAGGACTACACCTCCCATGCTTCCCAGGCGAGCTTAGCTGGGGTGAAGGGGTCGAGCGGGACTGGGAGGGCGGAATCCACCCGTGGCTGGAGGGAAAAACGGTCCGCCAGCTCCCCTTTTTCCTGCTCCGGGAATACTGGTTTCTGAAGAGGGAAGCGATTCCCCGGCTAAAGGCGAGCCGAAGGGGAATCGAGACGACTCCGGATTAAAGCGAGGCTTGATTGTGGCATTCGGAGCGGGGGCAGCTGGTATCTGGATTGCCCGTTTGACATTTTTTTTGGGGGGTGGGATGGCTCTTCAGAAAGGGAAAGTCCCCCCCAGCAGATGTGTTTGCTGAAATGCGGGGCGACGCGATCCCTGGAAGTTTAAAGAAGGAGCCAGTAGATCCTTTCCTTCTCCCTCTGAACCATCCCGGAGTAGGTTCCTCCCTTTTTCCAGTTCTGGTTCGTGAGTTCCTACCGGTTGGAACTGGATGGGCTGGCGCTTTTATCGGGGAGAGGGTTTCTCGAGACATGGCTGGCCAGGGAATTCTGGGAGTTGAAGTCCTCAGTCTTAAAGCTCACTAGCATGCTGGCCAAGGGATTCTGGGAGTTGAAGTCTACATATCTTACAGTGGCTAAGATTGAGAGACACTGTCCTAGACTAGGGAGGGTGAAAAGACTTAGAAACGTTTTCAGTGTTTCTCAACCTTGACAATTTTAAGGCATGTGGACTTCAACTCCCAGAATTCCACAGCCAGCAATGCTGGCTGTGTAATTCTGGGAGTTGAAGTCCACATGCCTTAAAATTGTCAAGGTTGAGAAACACTGGTTTAGCTGTCAAAGAAGGCACGACAGCTGCCATCAAATCTTTGGAGGGCTGTTGCATTGTAGAGAGTTCGAATTTCTTCTCAGGTGCTCCAGAAGGCAAGACTAGAACTCATGGGATGAAACTTAAGGTGCCAATTAAATATTGGGAAGAATTATATTGACTTTCCGAGCTGCCAATCAGTGGAATAGGTTATCACATCCAGGGGTTTTTTGCCTCATTCCTGGAGATGTTCAAACAGAGGTTGGGTAGTTATCAAAGGGGATGGTGTCATGAATCCTGCAGTGTGCAGTGGGTTGGATTTGATGACCTCTTAGTTCCCTTCCAACTCGTGCGATTCTCTGAGCTGCTGGTCAACATAGTGGGACCAGCCAGGCACACTTTGTGAGGTTGGCACGCAGTGGCCATCGCTGCCAGAATGGAAAATTGGCTACTGCTGGGTTAACAGGTGACCCAGCCTATAACGTCCAGATGGTGGCTTGTGAATAGATATTGCAGTATTTAGCTAGCAATTCTATGTCGGGCACAATGAAAGCTTGTATTCTCAGCCTGCTGAATAGTGTCAAGCACCAGGACTGACTGTTCCAACAGATAATTATTCCTTCTTTGAGAGAAGCCCAAACTCATGCAACTCTGAATTTATGGTTTCCTGGGTTGAATTGGCTCTCTCCTGCCCTGGTTGGAGACGATGGAGACAGACAAGTCCCTTGTTGGGGACTTAAGAACCATGCTGGAGATATCTGGAACCCACCTGGTTCTAGAACAAAGCAGGATCAGGCAAGCATCCCCGGAGTGGACTGAAGAACTGAAAGATCTCTGGATGTTCTAGCACAATTCCCAGGGCTGGTTTTCTGCATAAGATGCTTTGAAATGTGTTGCGTTACCATCTTTGTTACCCCACAGCTGAAGGTGATGGGAATTGTAGTCCAACAGGGCTAAGGACTTCACTTTGAGTTCCTTACAATGGAAAGGTGAACCGGAGTCATATAGACGGAGCTCTGAGGTGTCTGGTTGCATGCAATTGCCTAGACCTCTTTGGCCAACCGATGAACTCAGGGGTTTGGGGGAGAGAGGGGTCGTCTCCTGCCTCTCGGGCTGGCCTGGTTTTCTGAGGCAAAGCTGGCTGGGGAATTCTGGGAATTGAAGTCCACTCATCCTTAAGTGCCCAAGGTTGATGAACACTGCCTTGAACCACCCCTTTGCCAGCTCCAGATGTGCTGGGCTGAGATGAGAATTTGGGAAGTTGATAGTGGTACAGACCCCCCCCCCAATACCGTGTATTCTTCCCTTTCTCCACTTTTAGACGAAAATAACCTTCTTTGCGTTGACTTTTCTCCTTTCTTCCTTCCCCATCTCCTCTCTCCCTCCTTCCCTTCCTCCTTCCTTCCTCCCTTCCTTAATCTTCCTCCCTCCCTCCCTCCTTCCCTTCCTTCCTTCCTTCCTTCCTTCCTTCATCTCCTCCCTCCCTCCTTCCCTCCCTCCCTACCCCCCCTCCCTGGAGGGGGTAAGAGATCTGTGTTTACCTTCCTGAATCTGAACCCCCCTTCAGTCCCCCCCCATGACTCAGTGACTGTTGTCAAGTTTTTCTAAACGCAAAACTGATCTTCATTCACCACACCGTCCTCATTTTGCACAGTTCCTTCAGAGCGCCCTCTGCAGCAGCCAACCTCTGAGCCATTGGACTACAGCTCCTATCTTCCCCAGCCCCGGCGATGGTTCTTAAAGGGCCACCCTTTAAAGTCCATCATATCCAAGGGAAGCATCCTGGACCACGAGCTGAAGCTTGTGGAGTGTCATTTCTTCCAACAGGCTGGATTTAGGGGGTCTGTGGAAATGGTCCCACTTTGTGTGTGTGTGTGTGTGTGTGTGTGTGTGTGTGTGTGTGTGTGTGTCCATGCTGGCTCAGGAATTCTGGGAGTTGAAGTCCACGAGTCATAAAGGAGCCAGGGTTGACTACCCCTGAGATAGATGATAGATAGATAGATAGATAGATAGATAGATAGATAGATAGATAGATAGATAGATAGATAGATAGATAGATAGATAGATAGATAGATAGATAGAAATGGATAGATGAGAAATAGATAAAATACATAGAAGACAGATAGATGAGATAGATAGTAACGGAGAGAGAGAGATACCAATAGAGATACCAGTAGGTAGATAAAGAGATAAATGATTGACAGACAGACATATAGAGAGATGATAGATAATAGAGAATAGAGAAAAATGATTGACAGAGAGATAACAAAGAGAGAAATGAGAGAGAGAGCAAGGAAGTCTACACCTCCTAGTTCAGATGGGGTTGTTGAGATAATCAACCATTTCTCCATGAGGAAGGCATTTGGCAGTCCTGGCCCAACCCTCTTCCTCCCCAACCATCATAAATTCCAAGATAAGACTTCAGACAGGAGGGGGACGGGGGGGGGGAGGGAAGGGGGGGAGGCCAACTCTCCCTCTGCAGATTATCCAAGCTGAGCAAACACAGCCTATGGGATGGTTTGGGAAAGAGACTCAGGTCAGGAGGAGTGGATTCCCTCCCCCCTCCTTTCCCC